AGTACTGCTTCGACTGAAACTTTTCCCACACGTATCACAGGGATATGGCCTCTCACCTGTGTGAGTTCTCATGTGATCATGCAAATTACTGCTTCGACTGAAACTTTTCCCACATGTATCACAGGGATATGGCCTCTCACCAGTGTGAGTTACAAGGTGCCGTTTCCATGTACCTCTATCTCTGAAACTTTTCCCACAAGTATCACAAGGATACGGTTTCACAGCAATGTGGGGTTTCTTTCTTTGAGCCTGATTCTTGATGGATTTTTGGCAAACATCAGACTCTCTATCTGTGGCAGCATTGCAGGGACCCTCTGACACAGTCCGGCTCTCCACATCATTGTGACTTCTGTCTCGCTTCTGTCTCTTCTTTGGCACTGAGGTCACAGTTTCACTTAGCCCTGACTCTTCACACTTGCTGGATTCTTCATCTGTGCTTTCACTTTGAGGAGAGTCATCATAGAGGAGCTGCTCCTCATCTCCTCCTGGTTCACTGTGCTCTCCTTCCTCAGCAGCAGTCACCATAAAGGTATCAGGCTCCTCCTTCAGTCCCAGCTGCTCTCCCTCCTGACTGCTGCACAGTTCCTCCTGTTCCTCTTTAATCTGTGGAGGTTCTGGGTCCTCCTGCTCCACACTGGAGCTCCTCTCCTGGTCACAGAGCTGCTGCTCAGGGAGAACCTCCTGTTCCTCATAGATATGCTGCTGTGGGACGTCTACAGGACAGAAGAAAGAAGTTACTGATGCAACCACAGAAACATTAACAGGACTTTACAGCATGACTGCATCACTCATGTATGTGGACTGACACCTGAGTTCACCTGTTTTGTGGTTTGAAAGCCACAGAGTTTAGAGAAAATGGGTCTCAATTGTTCCCATACTACTGACACATATGGGATCACTGAGGGTTTTCTCTTTTGCTCTTCTCCAGCTTTGACAAAAGTCCAGCTGGGATAACCACATTTACTCAGGGCCTTCTTGATTAGGGATGGGTATCATTTAGGTTTTATCCGATACCAGTGCCAAACC